TCCACAAAATAGTTGTTCGTGAGAAGAATATGTTCGAGAGCGGCTTACATCTCGTCGATAGACTACGATGGGAACAGAGGTGGTTCGTTAAAATTGGCATGGCATGTCGGGTTAATCTTAAATGTTGGAAGTGGTTGAACTAAGGAATTTAGTCGTCTGAACTCTTCCCATAGAAATAGCGATACAGTGGCTAGAAGCTTCTAACGTTTCGTCTTTGGGGAAGTGGTTCTAGGCTTTTGAAATTTAATAGCAGTCATGATTTGACAGACCAATGTATGATCCAGTATAGTGGATTCGAATTTCAATGTGTCACTGTATCAGACTTTTTCAATTAAACGGATACAGCTCTCTAGCTTTCAATAGCTCGTGTTACTGAAATTTTGGATTCCCATTTTTTTATTACAGTGTAACCCGGATATAAGAGAGATTTTCTCTGGTCCCAAATTAGAGCCTGTGTTAATGTATATAAATAGACCAAACTCGGATATAAGAGAAACCCGGATATAAGAGACTTCTTCTCCGGTCGCGACAACTCTCTTATATCCGGGTTACGCTGTACTTCGATTGTTTTCGGCGATTTTTCACGTGATATTTCTGACGAATTTTTTTTTTTCTTTTTTGTACTATAACAATTTTATAACTTGGAAATATATTTGGGAATAATTGAAATTAATTGCGAAATCTAGCGAAAGTCAGCCATGAAAAAAATTAACTAAAATTTTAAAATTATTTAAAAATTTTTAAAAATTTAATATTATTTATTTTTATTATTTATTTTTATTTTATTATTATTTATTTTTATTAAAAAATTTTTTTTTAATTTAAAAATTATTTAAAAATTTAAATTTACTAACTTAAATGCCGCCGAATTGGGCGGCTTTTAAGTTAGTAATAAATAAACGCAATCTGTGGAGAGTCATGATCGCCTACATCCCGAAAAGTCATAGCATTTTTTAATCATTATTATTAATGTTTTAACTGTTATTATTATCAAATGTCTATTCTGACATTTCTTTAATTTTTTAGTGCATTCATAGTAACGCTCAGGTTGATTCTATGATCGTATTTACCGATCTATATTGAGTCGTCTCGGCGTGCACTCATGGTAAGTGAACGCTGTCTCGTTATTACTAGGGTGGCCATAGAAAATTCAACATTAAATAACCCAAGGATTGACATATCGTAAACATTCAGCCTAACATAACAATTTATGCTATTTATGTAATGGTTTGTAGAATATGAAAATTAATATAAAATTAATAACGAAAATAGGTCATCTAAGTAATTCGGACAAATTAGAATGTACCAGTCCTTCAAAATCTACTGAATGGATATTAACGTCTTGTATTGATAATACGAACTCGGACCGATTCCTATCGTTCTCGTTTCTTTGTTCTCGCTGCTAATACGAGAACTTAATGGATTCAGGCAAAATAAAGATGAGTCGTAGATATCATTTTTAGACTTACAAATGATCATTTCTTCATCTTGACTATCTACTGCCATATTAATATCACATAGAATTGTATTTCTTTGGTATGGAGAATAAAAAGAAAACGGCTCTAGTAATGATTGAATGACTTGGCCCTAGGTTTGAAATTAATCCTCGATGCAGACAATATCTTTTGTAGAGAATTCGTGCCATAGCCAAAATGAAACAAGAAACGAATAATGATATTTGGTAGTCAAATAAATGTGACTATCGTCTTCTAGCTTCCGAGTCTTATTGAAAGAAAAGAACCAAATTCCTTCAGATGTAATTTCTATAACTATCCTCCTTTTTCTAATCACTTACACAATTCAGTTCCCATTTTCCTCAAGTATTTATTCATTCACACACACACACACACACACACACACATATATATATATATATATGTGTGTGTGTGTGTGTGTGTGTGTGTAAACAAATGTATATAGCTTACGAAAAAATAATATATTTCGATATCTTTTAATAGATAACTGTAAATATAAATAACTACGTATTGATTTTTTTCGACTATCATTGATTCAAGAGGTCAATCTATCACTCTTTCTTCCCCTTTATTATGTATCAATTTTCCAAATTCTTTGTATTCCACCTTCTTACCAATACATATTCTTTTCTTTACTGCTTTTCATTGTCTTACTTCACTTTAGAAGCGTCGTCGTCTCTTTCAACATCGCTTGGGTCATCATTCAATTGTATTGTTTACTTCCTTTTCAGTGGTTGATTTTTCTTCTTTCTTGACGTGCGTTTCTGAAAATTTCCATTGAATGCAATCCGATCCACACTAGGGAAATATTGCATAACTATTTTGACGTATCTGTAATGGAGCATCAGTGAAGTGTAAAAAGCAATTCTTCACTGGCCCAAATAGCGTATTACAAGAAAGCGTAAGAAAAGGGCGTGGAAGAGTAGACATAGAGGATTGTAAGAGACTGAGCATCTAAATAGAGAGAGAGGCTTAGCGTGGAGATATGTAAAGCGTGATTTTTAGAAGGTAGAAAGTGAAGTGTAAGTCTTAGTAAAGGAGGAAAAGAGATGACAGCCTAAGAGATATCAAAAAGAAGATTCATGCGGAGTATCCGAAGAATATATTTAAAAATACGAAAAAAAAAATGGGGCAAAATGATTTAATGGGTTGTGGGAGACAAGAGAGATGATGTAAGTGGAAAATGAGAGAAGGTAGTGAAAAAGAGAGAGTAGATGTGGAGAGTGTGGCGTTCATCAAAAAGGAAATGAAGAGTAAGGCCTTTTGCGAGGGGAAGAGTAAAACAGGGTAAAGCACGTTGGATTAAGATATATAAAAAAAAGGAGAGAAAACGAGATAGATGATGATATGAGAGAAAAGGGGGAACTCGATTTATTTAAGAGCAAAGGATAGCGAGGAGATATGGAAAGAATGATTTTAGAAAGACTAAAATGAAGAGTAAGGCTTTGCGCGTAGAGGAGAGTAAAGCTCAAAGAAAGAGAAAAACACGGATAAAATGATTTAGTAAAGAGAAACACGACAGAAGATTATAAGAAAGAAAAAGAGAAAACTCGTTGGTGAGGAAGAAATACTAAGTGAAGTGAGGAAAAAGAAAATAAGTTAAGGTCTTTTGAGAGTAGGTCGCTAAAGCTGAAAGAGAAGAGAGAAAAACACGCTGTATAAAGAAATAACATCAAGAACAAATATACAGATCTCTGGGATAATATCCTTAAATATACAATGAAAAAAGCAATTAAAAACAGATTTAGTAGATATTGGTAAAAAAAAAGATGGTAGCTAAGAAAATGAAAGAGTATAAAGCGTCAAAGATGAGACTTGGTAAGATATGCTGAGATATAGGAAATATTTTCGTTGTTTGGATTGATTGACTGATATATTTTCTACGGTTTATCAACCCATTGTAGGTTATTTAAAACCGGAAAATATTTTTAGATTCTAAGAATTTTTTTAAGATAATAATTTATACTTTCTAATTAATCCACAGCTAAGGGTAGAAGAGATGTATTCATACCTTTCCCGAGGGTATTTGCGCGTAAATGAATATAACGAACCCGACTGGAATTAGAACTCGGTTCACCGATTAACATTACCGAGCCATTATCCACTACACCACCCGCATATCCAAATTTCCAGCACCTGGTATTCCAAAGCAGTCACCCAGCTAGATATTGACCAGTTTCGGTGTTGCTTAACGTCGGGGATCGTACTGGAAACGGTGTTTCAACGTGAAAGCCGTGATGTTTTGTGGAAGAGAAAATGAAGAACAAGGCTTTTACGAGGAGGAGAGTAAAGTTTAAAGGGAGCGTGAAAACACGGTGGATTAAAAGATAGTGACAAGAGTGATATAGAAAACGCTAAGTTCGTATCTGAAGAATACCCAAAAAGTAATATAGTTTGAAGAACAAGAGAGGGGAAACTGATAAGAAAATGAGAGAGAGAGAGAGAGAGAGACGCTGGGCTTAAAAGATAAGGTGAGCGTGGAAATATGATAGGCCTGGCGGAAGATAGCAAAAAGAAGAACGAACGCATTATACATTAGGAGAAGGTTATCTCATGACAAATAACTGCGGCTACAGCAGTATAATGATTTTAAAATTACTTAAAAATGAATGAGTCCATGAGTTCAAAATCGAATACTCATCTAAAGAATTTGAAAAAAAATATAAAAAAATTGTCTTCATTAAATTTTTTGTGTCTTTACGTTACTCTCCTTTTACATTATTTCTACCCCCCTCCTCGCCCATTCGCTCGAGAAACTAAAACGACAGAGCATTGTTATATAGAGAAAGAGTCAACAAAAAAATCCGAAACGTGGGATCACTTAAGAATCATTTCCTGTTTTTAATGATGGGTCTTCAAATTTTATGAGATACTTCCAAATCGCTACGGCGATTTAAATTGCCTTTTTGTAAATTCAGATTATGCGTTTCAGATTAACGAAAAAAAAAACAAACAAACCTGTAAACTGAAATTATGCTTCCACTCTTTCACGTTGTTTTTAATTATACAAACAAAATATATTTCATATCGAAAAATTTACTGAAAGAAAATGCAATTTAAAATCCCATGATGCAATACAGACACTACCAACAACAACACTTTTCACCCTTGTTTTTGTATGGATTCTTTTTTAATATTTATTATCGATTAAAATCTGAAAATAATCTAAGACACAAATCACGTTGCGTTTCTCATTATGATATTCAATATTTTACGCAACGTCGCAAACCTATCGGTACTTCCACGGCAAACGTTCAGACAATCACCATTCATTGGTGCTACAACCTCGGAATTTTACAGCCAAACCCCGCCTTGCTACGCCCACATTGTCGAATCGCCCACATTCCCTCTTTTGGTATGAATTCAGTCTAGAGTCATTCGTTATCTATAACGCGTAATCTTCTCTTCCGACAACCTATTTTTATGTTCACATCACACACCTCATTAAGAAACCCATGTACATTGGGTACTGTATTGAGTGAACTTTCGTAAAAAAAAAAAAGAAATCGTTTTCATTTCCTATGCTTATGGCCACATCACGCTAAAACACCAGTTCCCGTACGGATCACCGAAGATAAGCAACGTTGAGCCTGGTCAGTACCCAGATGGGTGACCGCTTGGGAATACGAGGTCAGGAATATACTGCCTAGGAATAACAGATGCAGTAAGCTTGGATGCGCGGGTGATGTAATGAATATTGGCTCGGAATCCAACTTCCAATCTGGTTTCTTTGTATTCATTTACGCGCAAATACCCTTGGTAACATTATGAATCCACCTTTTCTTCCCCAACTATGGGTTAATTAGTAAGACTTGGATCACTAAATCATTATTATCTCCCCGCACCCCACAAAAAAATTCTTACAATCTAAAAATATTTCCTAGCTATAAATAACCTGCAAAGGGTTGATAAGCCGTAAAAAACGAACCAGTCAATCAAACAATTTCCTACAAGTATGCCTGTTCATGTGTGTGTAAGGATATACAAGCTAAAGATGTCGCAACGAGAGTAGCTGATGTGCATATAATATATGCATATGATTCTTCGTTTAAATGTCGTTTAAAATGTACCTGTGTTAACGAATATCACTCAACCAGCATTTAACCTTGTAATAATATGAAGTACTTTAACGTCAAAATATCGTTCAAGTTCATCCTTTGTTAACGAGTGTCGCTTAACCAGCACCTTGCCTTGGGTTCATTCGAAGTAGTCTATCGATCACGATTAACCTGTATTAATGAGTCTCGCTTAATCAATGTCTTGTGAGAACTTGAAGTGTTCTAACGTTTAAAAATCGTTCAAGATCAACCTGTTAACGAGTGTCACTCAACCAGTCGTTCATTTGCGCTACCGTGATCGAATATTGATTTCTTAGTTTCAACTCTCAGCTAACATGTACAAACTGTTACATGTGTATGTGCGGGTGTGTTGTGTGCAACATTTCATTTTCCGTAGCTAAACAACTTTGCTAACACCTTGTATTATAGCGCTTCATTAAGCGCTAATAGTGCACGAATACATACATACACACACGCACACATATATATAATTATTTTCCAAGATGTGGCACAAGGCCGAAAGTAGGGGGCACCCAGTGAGGATCGAACTCACTACTCAGTTGTAATTGTTCTAGCGAGACAAGCTTGCTAACCATTACACAGCCTAAAGGTGACCAAAACACACACACACACACACACACACACACACATATATATATATATATATATATATATATATATATATATATATATATATATATATATATATATATATATATATATATATATATATATATATATAAACAAGAACTGGAAATAGCGTTCGAGCAAGAAAATGTCATATATGGCGTCAAGGTCATATGAGGGTGGTACATATGTGGTCGTTGGGCGGGGAATGAAGCGGGGGGGGCTTGTTCTTAATGATAACTGAGTGAAATAGTTTCCGAGCAAAGAGACCCCCACCCCGCACAACACTTCATTCTTTTATTGTACGCACGATAGGCGAGAGGAATATAATAAGAAAAAAAAAGACAAGACAGACAGACAGACAGACAAATCGAGTGAAGGGCATGGGTGGGATGGAAAAACGTAATTAGATTTATGAATAAATCGACGGAACTAAAAGAGGCTGGAAGAAAGAGAATTAGATAATCATTTTATTTGCAATATATATATATATATATATATATATATATATATATATATATATATATATATATATATATATATATATATATATATATATATATATATATATATATATATGAGCCATGATTTATGATATACGCAGTTTATCAGGTACATGTGAAGTAAAGATCTTATATTGGTTAAAAAGACTTCATGACAATAGATGCGCCTCTAATTTGTATGCATATCGGGGATTCCTTACCTTATCTCATTTTGGCTAGCACGTAAAAAAAAAGACTTATTAGTAGCGATATCTTATAAATAAACTTTCACTCATCTTTTATACTCGTACGTTCGTTAGCTTTGGAACCATAGATATCATCCGCCGGCATCTCCCCTTAGTTTTGACGGGATGACATGTATTGACAAAGATTTTTATATTCTTTTTGATATGTTTGAAACTTAATAAGAAGAAAGATATTTTTTCAGACGTTGACCTTAAATGACACAACTGATAAAACTGAGCAGAGGCATTATTTAGAACTGAGATGGACGAAATCGTAACCAGGATTGACAGGTTTCTTTTGAAAAGGCCAATGCTGGTAGATTTTGATTTTCGCTACGGGAAACTTGTTTAGCTAATTAAAAAAAAAAGCTACCCTAAATGAAACTACAAAAAAAGTCAGTTCAAAATTTCTAAACTTTCAAATGTAGTTCAATTAACTACTTGTCGCTCAATTGTGTAAGTTTGGTCTCAATTCTAGAATTACTGATGGTCACCAATTAAACATTTACGTATATATTCAAATGTTTAGTTGATCTTTCTTTATTACTAAATAATTGGCGGCAGTTTTTAGTTTTCTATTCCTGTTTTCGAGAACAGTTAAAATGAACCTCAAATGTTGATTTTTAGTAGCCTGGCGCCACATAATCTTATATCAGTGAGTTTCACGTGTATATGGTCCTATACCAGATATTTTGAGCCGGTTTGCCTTATGTTGTAGTGTTTTTCCTCCGATAAAAATATTGAAGACTTAATTTGTTTCCATTTATTAGAAGAACTTATGTTAATCAAATTTAATTCGGTTTTATTTAATTAGGCAGACAGGCCACCATCAGTGTGAAGCAATCGTTTCACTTGCATTATAACTATTACTGAAGTCTTAACTGACGTAAACATATACTTAAGCTCAATGAAGATAATTCTATTATTTGTCTCACATCTTATACAACTCCATCCACTGCTTCTTTCTTTTTTTATATATTCTTATACTATTTTTATATTATATTTTTCTTCTATTGTACTATTCCTCAACGATATTTTTATATTCTTTTATTCTATTCAGATACTATATTCTTAAAATATACTATTCTTATACAATAATCTTGTATTCTCTTATGCTGTTCTTATACTATATTCTTGTTTTCCCTTATATTATAATTATATTGTATTCTTCGATTCTCATACTATTCTTATACTATATGCTTCTATTCTCTTATACGATTCTTATGCTATATTCTTGTATTCTCTTATACTATTTTTATACTACATTCTTCTATTCTTTTATATTATATACTGTATTCTTCGATTCTCATACGATTCTCTTGCTATATTCTTCTATTCTCTTATACGATTCAATGACGATTCATTTGTTTCTCTGGCGAAGTGTATTTCATTCAAATTTATTATAAGATTAAGGATTGTTATTGCTTATTCGTTTCTTTAATAATATTTCTTTTATATTATTACAATCACTTTTTAGTCTTTCTACAGTTTTTTAGCCACACATAAGTAAATCTGAAATATTATAAGAGATCTTCCTCCAAAATATTAACAATTAATTTTATATCGTTCAGTCTCAACGTTTTGCATAATCTTTCTTTCATAATTTATTACTTCTTGCATCTTTTTGGTAAGAATTTGCGCATTTTCAGCATCGTACCAATATACGTACCATTCAAGGAAAATTTCCCGCTCTGTAAAATGAAGCGATCGTTTTTTGTTTTTTGTTTTTTTGTTGTTTTTTTTTTTGTTTTTGTTGGTTTTTTTTGCAGATACACGCTTTTCTGATAATCCATTATAATTCCAAGTGTTTTTTACACTATTTATTTCATTCTTTTTGTTATAGATTTTGCCAGAACATTTCGGTAGAGTCATTCTTTGCTTTTCATCAAGAATAGATTCCATACGGATTTTTTTCCTTTTTTTTTTTTTATCCTATTTCCTCATCAGATGCTTTACATTATTGTTGCTCATGCCACCCGCAATAAAGACTGCTTTCATTTTTCGTATGAGATAAACAAAAATAAGACTTCAAACATGAAAACCAGCAATCTGTTCGCAGGACAGAACCTTATTGCACTGATAATGTCTGATTCTAAGAGGGTCAGCGTGCAATGCCAGCTGGTTATACGCTTTCCTCCAAACTAAAAGAATCATGCCTTATACTTTGCTGCTTGTGGACACTATCTGGAAAACATCATCACACTTCCAACTGGACACCTGGGAATGACCGAAATGTTGTGGTAGCAACGCAAATCGCAAAGAGAATTAGATTAAAAGAACAACTTTTCCAACAGTGCTTTTATCTTTCAACAGATCGCTGCATTGTTCGTTTTGCCTTATTCTTCTTCCATTGTTTCTTTTTTCTGCTTCCATAGTTTTCTTTTTTTTCTTCTTCTTCTAGAATCCTTTTTTCTTCCCCATTTCTTTCATTTCTCCACTGCCTTCTTTTTCTCTTTGCTTTTCTTCCACACATCTCCTCTTCTCTCTTTTCTCTTTCTACTGCTTCATCTCCTTTTCTTCATCCAATCATTTCTCTTCTTTCTTCTTCCCCTCCTCTTTTTCCTTTTCTTTCTAGCCACCATTCTTCTTATTCTTCATAGCATGCATCGACATAACGTTGACACACCGGTTCCGGTAAGTCACTGAAGTGAAGCAACGTAGAGCCTAGTCATTACCTAGATGGATGACCGCTTGGGAATACCAGCTGCTGTAAGATTGAATGTGCGGGTGGTGTAAGATATAACGGCTCGGAATTATTAATCGGTCAAACGAGTTCCAATTCCAGTCGGGTTTGTTAAATTCGTTTTACGCTCAAATATCTTTGGGAAAGTATGAATCCACATCTTCCCTCCTAGATATGGGTTAAACAGTAGAACTTGTATCAGTAGATCATATTATCTCCAAAAAATTCCGATAATCTAAAAATATTTTCTGGCTTTAAATCACCTGAAAAAGGTCGATAAACATTAAAAACAGATCAATAAATTAACCTTCTTCTTCTTCTTCTTCTAGTTCCTACTTTCTAATTATTCTTCTTTTTCCGGCTAATTATTTTTCTTCCTTTACGCCTTTTTAAATATTTTTCTCATCCGTTAACTTTTGGGATCTCTCATTTCTCAATTCCGCTAAGTACTCTCTCTTTACACACACACACACACACACACACAAGCACATACACACTCATATATTGTATGAGGGTCAGGCAACTCAGTTCCTAGGA